TGGTCGAAAATTGCTTGTTATATGAAAAATGGAGAATTTTTTTTTTGAAGTGGACGACAATAAATTTTTTCGTGTAACGTTTATATTGAGTGACACTTGATCTGCAATGTCCCACGACTATTAAATAGGAATAATAATAAAAACACTGGCCTTGAGGAGATTCTTGCTCCTAGTAAAGAAAAATGAATGAAGGTATTTTTTTTCTTATACAGAAAACAACTATCTTAAAAATATGCAGTATAATTTAATCTTCTGCTTTATAATAAAATAATACTTAGATAAATTCTATAAAGGTAAATAAATATTTACAACACAAAATAAATATCATCTAATTAAATAATTTATTTTTTTATTTCATAGGGGGTAAGTATTATATTGTAATTTAACTTTTACAATACAAAATAAACATCATCTAATTAAATAAAATTTGTTATTTATTTCATAGAGAGTAAGTATTATATTATAATTTAATTTTCACAACACAAAATAAACATCATCTAATTAAATAATTTGTTTTTCTATTTTCATAGAGAGTAAGTATTATATTATAATTTAACTTTTACAACACAAAATAAACATTATTTAATTAAATAATTTGTTTTTCTACTTCTTTATAATGACTAGTTGGTAAGTGTTATATTATAATTTAACTTCTACAATACAAAATAAACATCATCTAATTAAATAATTTGTTTTTTTATTTCATAGAGTGTAAGTATTATATTATAATTTAACTTTTACAACATAAGATAAACATCATATAATTAAATAATTTGTTTTTTATTTCTTCATAATAACCAGGGCGTAAGTATTGTATTATAATTTAACTTTTACAACATATAATAAACATCATCTAATTAAATAATTTGCTTTTTTTATCTCTTTATAATAACCAGATGGTAAGTATTATACTATAATTTAACTTTACAACACAAAATAAACATCATCTAATTAATTAATTTGCTTTTTTATTTCATAGAGCGTAAGTATTATATTATAATTTAATTTTTACAACACAAAATAAACATCATCTAATTAAATAATTTGTTTTTTTATTTGTTTATAATAACCAGTTGGTAAGTATTATATTATAATTTAACTTTACAACACAAAATAAACATCATCTAGTTAAATAATTTGTTTTTTTATTTCATAGATCGCAAGTATTATATTATAATTTAACCTTTACAACACAAAATAAACATCATCTAATTAAATAACTTGTTTTTTTATTTCTTTGTAATAACCAGTTGGTAAGTATATATTATAATTTAACTTTTACAACACAAAGTAACATCATCTAATTGGATAATTTGTTTTTTTATTTCTTTGTAATAACCAGTTGGTAAGCATTATATTATATTTTAACTTTACAACACAAAATAAACATATCTAATTAATTAATTTGTTTTTTATTTCATAGAACGTAAGTATTATATTATGTTTTAACTTTTACAACACAAAATAAACATCATCTAATTAAATGATTTGTTTTTATAATAACCAGTTGGTAAGCATTATATTATATTTTAACTTTGCAACACAAATAAACATCCTTAATTAAATAATTTGTTTTTTATTTCTTTATAATAACCAGTTGGTAAGTGTTATATTATAATTTAATTTTTACAATACAAAATAAACTTCATCTAATTAATAATTTGATTTTTTATTTCTTTATAATAACCAGGGTGTAAGTATTATATTATAATTTAACTTTTACAACACAAAATAAACATCATCTAATTAATCAATTGGTTTTTTTATTTTTTTATAATAATCAGCATGTACAGTGTGTTTCAAAAAAAATGGCGTGCACAAAAAATCGTATACTGCAACAATTATGCAAGATAAATAAATAAAATTATGTTCATTTAAAAGCCTACTAATAC